AAAACATAGGTACAGAGGAGCAAGATAATGATGACAGAAGATTTCTCGTGGAAACAACCCAAGTGGGAACTCAGGAAGGCAACATTTGTGAAGAATTGAAAGAAAAAAACTTGTCAACCTAGAATTCTATATTCAGCAAAAATATCTTTAAAACCTGAAGGTGAAATAAAGACATTTTCAGGCAAACAGAAGAATTCATCCCGAGCAGACCAACACTACAAGAAATGTTAAAGGAAGTCAGACAGACAGAAGGAAAATGACACCAGACGGAAATATGGACATAGGACTTACAGATGGAAAACAGAGCACTGGGCATGACAACAGAGTAAATGCCATCAACTGTTCGCTGTTAGAGTGTCTTCAAAAGAATCGACTGTTTAAACAAGCTAACAACACTCTATCCTGGGGTTAGAAGACTTGTATATGTATTCACCCCAGGAGGGGAGAAAATGAAGTATACTACGTTAAGGTTCATCTGCTATACAGGATTTCAAAACTGATTATAAAGCAAAGTAATCAAAACAGCGTGATACTGGTATAAAGACAAATATACAGAACACGCAACAGGAGAGCCCAGGAACTAACTCACACGACTGGTTTTGGACAAAGGTGCGAGGGCAATTCAGTCAAGAAAGAATAACCTTCTCAACAAACGGCACTCTAACAACTGAAAAGCCAGTGAAAAAAAAATGAACGGCAATTCATACCTCACACCATGTACAAAAATTAAAGTCAAAATGGATTACAGACCTAAGTGTGAAACCTAAAACTATACAAACCATTCTAAGAAAACATGGGAGAAAATCTCTGGGATACTGGGTTAGGCAATGATTTCTTAAATACAACACCAAAAGCGTGATCCATCAAAGAAAAAAAGGATAAACTGAACTTCATCAGAATTAAAAACTTCTGCTCTCCAAAAGACACTGTAAGGTAAAAGAAAAGTCATAGACTGAGGGAAAATATTTGTAGAGCACAATCTGATAAAGGACTTGTATCAAGAACATATAATAAACTATGAAAGCTCAAAAATAAGAAAACAAACAATCCAGAAAAATATAAACAAAAAAATGCGAGCAAACGCTTCACCAAAGGAGCTATATGGATGGCAAATACGCACACGATAAAATGCTTAAGGATCAGTAGTTATTAGGAAAATTAAAAACACAATGTGATACCACTACACGCCTGTTAGCATGGCTAAAATTACAGAAGACTGACCACCCCCAGTGAGAACAAGACGTGGAGGGAGTCTCCTACATGGCTGGTGGGAATGTGAAATGGTGCAACCCCTTTGGCATACAGTTTGGCAGTTTCATAAAAAAGTTAAACACACACCTATGTGTGATCCAGCCGTTGCACTTCCAGGCATATACCCAAGAGAAACGAAAACAAGCCCACACAAAGACTCGAACGTACAGTCACGTGTCACTTAATATCCATGATACATTCTGTGGAATAGGATGTTACGTGATTTGGACATTGTGTGAACACCATGTTATAGGCAGTCCCTGGGTTACGAACGTCTGACTCGCAGGCAACTCCCACTTAAGAACAGAATGTCATAAAGCTTATTATATTAAAAATTTGAGTTAAACACAAGGATTCATAATAATGAACGCATGCACTACTTTGTGAGGCTCATGAAAACATCGTGCTGTTTGGAAGTGTTTAAGCGTTTTATATGCATAGAAAGGTAAAATATATACTATACAGTAAGTCAAACATTTGACTAACTGATGCTAAACAAGACCCGTATGTACCTATTCTGACTTACCTACAAATTCCACTAAAGGACAGACTTAGGAATGAATGTCATTGGTAACTTGGGGACTGCCTCTATATAGGAGACACGAGATACACGTGTTGTGTGCGGGAAGCTGCTGCGTTTGCTATGTCCAGTTACATCCGCTATGTCCCGTTCTCCGGTCAAGATTTCTGAACTCTATTATAACCTTATGCGACTGTGGATGTACATGTGGTTGGACATTGCCCAAAAAGTTATGCGGGGCATGACTGTAAATAAATGTACATGAACACAGGCAGTCCCCACCTTATGCTGTATTCGAGTTACGAAGAACTGCACTTAGGACCTTTTTTTTTTGGTACATCTTGTTAGTAATATGTACTACATAAAACATCTTGCAGTGCATAACTTGCTGATGTTATTATTTTCAGATGTTCACTCGCAGATGTTCAAAGATCATATTTATAAAGATACTGATAATAAAAGGCAATAATAATGAAAGCTAAAAAAAAAAAAGAGATATTTGACTTATGTCAGAACCAACTTATGACAGGGTTGTCAGAATGGAACCCCGCTGTAAGCCGGGGACTACCTGTATTCACAGCAGCTTTATTTCTTTTCTCTCTTTTTTGAAATGTAATTACTGATAAACTTGGGTTTAAATCTACCCTTTTTTAAACACTGTGCTTTAGATAAAGGTTTACAGAGCAAACTAGTTTCTCCTTAAACAAATTAATACACATACTGTTCTGTGACATCGGCTGTCAATGCCACAACGTGTCAACACTCTCCCCTCTCGACCTTGGGTTCCCCATTTCCATTCGTCCAGCCTTCCTGTCCCCTCCTGCCATCTGATCCTCACCCCTGGGCTGGTGTGCCCATTTAGTCTCATACACATGGCTGAGCTGCATGTATTACTGTTTGTTATATGGGCCTGTCTCATCTTTGGCTGAAGGGTGAACCTTAGGAGTGACCTTAGTACTGAGTTAACAGCGTGTCCGGGGGTCATACTCTCGGGATTTATCCAGTCTCTGTCAGACCAGTAAGCCTGGTCCTTTTTTGACAGCAGCTTTATTTCTAACAGTCTAAAACTGGAAATAACCCAGATGTCCATCAACAGGTGACAGATAAACCAACCGTGACACATCCATAGAAGGGAATGCTCCTCAGCAGTAACAAGGAAGGGACTACTAATAATCAACGACATGGATGAGTTTCAGAATTGTGCTTAGTGAAAGAAGTCAGACCAAAAAAGAAAAAGAACATATACGGTGTGAGCCCATCTGTGTGAAACCAGAACACGCAGACTAACCCAGTGAAAGCAGCAGACCAGTGGGCGACTGGGGACCAGGACGGGGCTAACGAAGCCGAAGGAGAAAACTTCTGGGACCGAGTGGTGGTTATGACCATGTTCACCATCCGGACTGTGGCCATGGGTCTGGGGTTACAACTTATCCAAGGGTACACTGGCCAGCTGTACACCAATAAACTGCTAAAATGAAGTAAACTGATAAAGATTTTTAGCCTAGAAATGACAAACCTGTGACGCAGTCCATTCTTCCATTCTAGTCAGAACCACGGCAGAGCTCACATTTCCTGAGAGCCGTGCTCTCGTGGTGTGGATGAACTCTCCAGCCCCAGTATGAGGCTGAGCGTCTGTTCTATCCCAGGACACGAGACGGAGGGGAACTCAGGTCTCTGTGTTCTTAACCACCACAGCAGACTTCAAGGAGGTAACTTCCATGAAGTGCAGACAAAAACGTCAGCAAGGCAAATCAAGACTGCGTGGACCCACATTGGACTGCCACTAGAAAGAGAAGAGCTACCGCGAATGACCTCACTCCTTTTCCCTTCCATCCAAACGCTTCCCACCCAGGTCTGTAGTTCTCCTCACACCACCACCATCGTCCCAGCGATGCTCGAGACTCTGAGTGGGGGCAACGGGAACAGACGCTGGTGGCATTACACAGCAGAGCCGCCGCGGTCCAGGACTGGCCAGCCCCAGAGAGGATTGTGGCAGGCAGGCCTGGGCCGCTTCGAGGAAGCCAGGCGCCAATGCTCGGGATCTGGGGGGAAGCAGAACCCACCCGGGGGGACAGGTCTTCGGATGTTGGAGGGGCTTCAAACGCTGAGCAGCAGCAGCAGGAGTGGCAAGGCCTACTGCAGGCGTCCCTTCTTCCTCCCAGCAGGTACGTCTCAAGTTCCATCTGGCTAAGCCCCTGGGACTTGCAGAGTCAGCATCTCTCCCAGTCAGACATCGAGCTCAGATACCGGCCATGCAGTATTCAACAGTGCTCCTTCAGAAGTCACTTTTGTATGTCAGACCTTCCTCCTTCCTTACTGCCCGTTTCCAGCTTTTGGTGACTCTCTGTAAAGGCAGGCCTACAGCCCTATGCGCACACATTTCACATTCCTCCACTTGTCCTGGGAGGTGACAAAGGCATGGGGTGTAGGGCACGGGCCAGATTCCTCCGATACATCTTGCTTCCCAGCCTTGGGACAGCAGTGGTTCATGCCCACCTCGATGCCTGGCCACCCCACCGTCCCCTGATCCTGAGCCCCCTGAAGATCTGCCAGTAAAGCCCGTCCGCTGCACATTCGGCAGTTACCTGCTGTTGGTAATAACCAAAGTGTACCAACGGTCCCAAAGGCTGGAGGGACTTGGGATCCCCTCACTTTGACCCTAAACCCTACTCTCTGGGCACATAAACTTATCCTTAAAAACTAACCATCAATGCAGCATCACAAGTCACAGTGCAGAAAACCAACACACAGTCCCCCATTCACTTTCCCGCCTTTCTTTCCCTCCCAAGGCAACAGCTGTGGGGAGGGCAGTGACAGCACTGGCGATGGATCGCCAACACTGACCACCTCCTCGGGCATCTCCAGGGGCCAACCATGGACACGAGAAAGGCGGGAGATGAGAGCTGGGGGCCCCCATGTCAGCCCAGACATGCGCTCTGACAAAAAACTCCACACAAGGCCACGTGTGCGGCTACCTCAGCAGCCCTCTACACTTCCTTCCAGCAATCAACTGACACGCACGGAATCAGCATGGAAAAACAAGGGCGTGGACGAGGTGATATCACATGGTAAGGAAGAGTGGGAGCTGCAGCCAGTGCTGAAAAAGGTCATTCAGAGGGCAGGTATCACCCACGTGTCCTGGCCCCCATCCAACCCAGGACAGCTGCCTCCAGGAGAGGAGCTTCTGGACAGTAACGACAATGACGACGCCACAGCCACAGAGACTCACGTTGTCTCGGATGTTGATGTCAGACCCCTTGGAGAGCAGCAGCTTCACAAGATCAACATGCTTGTACTCGGTGGCCCAGATCATTGGCGTCCAGCCACCATCGTCCTAATTTCAAAAGAAGGAAACAGGTAGTGACAGCTACTGGAGACGAAGCCTGATGGTGGGTTACAAAGTTCAGAGTGGACCTGCCCCACAGAAGGCCCCCACTGTGAAGGCCCCACGTACACAGCAGTCCTTGGGGGAAGACTGCTCCAAGGCCCAGGGAGCTACCCAGGTAACACAGCAAGTCCAGGACGGAACAAGAGCTGGCCAAGCCTGAGGCACACATGTCCAAGGAGGGGTGGTAACTGGACCCCTCGCTCACACCCTCCAGTCAGGCCTGCTGGGCAGGTGCTGCCTGCAGAACATGTCACACGCTCAAGTGTTAGAAAAATCTAGCAGGCCCAAAAGAATGCCAACAGTCTTGGTTTTGAGGAGTCCTAGTGGGGATGGTGTCTGAGTATCCTAGTGATCAAAGAGCAGGGAGCCAGGGCCAGGGGGCAGGGGGCAGGTGACAGGCAGCTGTGGGCACGGGCCAGGGAGCAGGGGGCAGGGAGCAGGGGGTAGGGGGCACGAAGGCATAGGCAGGGGGCAGGGGACAGGGAGCAGGGGGTCAGGGGGCAGGGAGCAGGGGGCCAGGGGGCAGGAACCAGGGAGTCAAGGGGCAGAGAGCCGGGAGCAGGGAGCAAGGGGCAGCAGCTACCAAGGGAGGGGCTGAGGAAAGAGGTCAGCAGAAGGGGCCACGCAGGGGGCCGAGCTGTCCTCACAGTGGAACGGAAACCTCTGGAGGACAGCGGGAACAGACAAAGTCTCTGTGCAGTCACGAGAAGCTGGGGTGGCTCTATGTGTGAGGGGGCAGGGCCTCACCTGACAATTGACGTCCATCTGTCCGTTGGAGAGCAGATACTGGACAACGTCATAGTGGCCCTTCTTGGCAGCCAGGTGCAGACACGTGGAACCCTCTGCGTCCTGCAATACAGATGCGACTGAGGCCCCACAAGCACGACCACAGTGAGTCATCACCCCGTCACAAGGGAGATGAAAGGGTTGTACAACTAGCCTCGTCCACCGGGCCCTGGTGGCTCTCACCATGACACACACCCACACATCCCCATGATGGTGCCCCAGGACTGTTCCAGGCCCTTCCACGGTCTCTGCTTGCTCTGGCCTTCACCCTCAGCACGCTTGCAGCAGTGGTGCACATTGAAGGCAGTGTGACTGACGCAGTACCAGCTGTCCCTGAGCTGCAGAAGGTTGAAGAACGATGGTATAGAGTGTGGACAAAAAGGTGTGTATGTTCTGCTGTGGTGGGGCTCCAAGCACGCAAAGCTCTGCTTCCTCAAGGACACTAAGCTGCCACGTGTGGGACCATCTCAAGAGAGAAGAGGAGGCAGCCCATGATGAGACCATGCCCAGGAGGCCCCAGGACACACAAGTGCCACAGCATTACCAATGCCCCATGTCACTAGAGCCAGGGCAATCCCAACCCGAGTGTGCGTCTCCCCGATGACAGTGACCACAAGGCCCGCGTGGACACACTTCACTGTTTCTCTTACGCAGACCGTTTGTTGCTTTCGCGCCCCATTCCTAACTTTTGTCCTTTATTCCCCCCGGCCATCACTTCTAACCTCACAGCAGTGGTCGCAGATTTGATGAACATCCTGACACACGTCTCAGTGAAACCCACAGATTTACCAGCAAGCCTACCGTTCTCAAGACAGGCCCACACTCCTAAATCCCAGGTCACCGGTGCTGAAAACCTTAATTGTATCATAAATACAAAACGTATGGCTGCTGAGCTAAAAGTTTTGTGTTACTTTCGTATGTTCTCAGCCATTCGAGTAGCTACAGTTGGATGAGCCCTGAGATACTGGAAAACTGCTGCCCATTTAAGGACACACAAGAGGGAGGCTCTGAAGGTGCTCTCACCCACTGGAGACAGAGCCAAGAGTTCCCACTACAGGGATGCTCTGCCTGAGGAAATGTGATCCTACGTGCCCCGAAACCCCAGCCAGGCAGGAGGTAGGAAAGGCGGGGGAGGGAGGTGAGGGGGACTGAGAAGAGGGGAAGAGACGAGGGAGGGAGGGCCTGGGAGGAGGGGCAGGGGAGGGGACAGCTTGATGTATTTTATTAATTTTTGTTTCTTTGAAAAATCTTTATTTCATTCTCACTTTTTTGGAGGTTCATTTCCTGGATGTAGAATTATAGGTTGACAGGTTTTTTCTTTCAGAATAAAGATGTTCATTCCATTGTCATCTAGTCTCCACTGCTTCAGATGAGAAGTCAATAGCCATTCGTAATGTTGTCTGCCAGTATGCAAAGTGCTGTTTTTCTTTGGCTGCTTTTAAGATTTTCATTATTTTTGGTTTTTAGCAGTTTCACCATGGTATGTTAAGGTGTTACGCAGAACAACAATAACACTTAACATACCACAGTGAAAAAATTCAAGTCTCGAGCTGCAATGTTAAAGGATTCTATGAGGAAAATACTAAATGACACAAGAAAGCATCAAAAGAAGATGGAAGGATTAAACAGAGTCACCGTATGAAACAGAATTAGTCAGCATTAAACCATTTCAGGAGGTAGCATGCGATCAAGAACCAATGGTACTGAAGGAAGAGGTCCAAGGAGGGCTGAAGGCACTGGCAAAAAAGAAGGCTCCAGGAACTGACCGAACACCAGCTGAGACGTTTCAATAAACAGACGCAGCACTGGAAGTGCTCACTCGTCTACGCCAAGAAATTGGAAGACATTTACCTAGCCAACCAACTGGAAAAGATTCATATCTGTACACACTCCAAAGAAATGTGATCCAACAGAATGCAGAAATTATCAAACAGTATTATTAATATCACACACAAGTAAAACTTTGCTGAAGATCATTCAAAAGCGGTTGCAGCAGTACATCAACAGGGAACTGCCAGAAATTCAAGCCAGATTCAGAAGAGGACGTGGAACCAGAGATATCACTGCTGATGTCAGATGGATCCCAGCTGAAAGCAGAAAATACCAAAGATGTTTACTTGTGTTTTACTGACTATGCAAAGGTATTCGACTGTGTGGATCATAACAAATTATGGATAAAATTGCTAAGAATGGGAATTCCACAAAACTTAATTGTGCTCATGAGGAACCAGGACTTAGACCAAGAAGAAATCCTTCAAACAGAGCCAGGGGATACTGTGTGGTTTAAAGTTAGGAAAGGTGTGTGTCAGGACTGTATCCTTTCACCATACTTATTCCATCTGTATGATAAGCAAATAATCTGAGAAGCTGGGCTATGTGAAGAAGAACAAGGCATCAGGATTGGAAAAAGACTTGTTAACAACCTGTGATACGCAGATGACACAACCTTGCTTGCTGAAAGTGAAGAGGACTTGAAGCACTCACTGATGAAGATCAAAGACCACAGCTTTCGGTATGGATTACACCTCAACATAAAGAAAACAAAAATCCTCACAACTGGACCAACAAGCAACATCAAGATAAATGGAGAAAAGACTGAAGTTGTCAAGGATTTCATTTTACTTGGCTCCACAATCAACACCCGTGGAAGCAGCAGTCAAAAATATCAAAAGACTCACTGCATTTCGCAAATCTGCTGCAAAAGACCTCTTTAAAATGTTAAAAAGCAAAGATACCACCTTGAAGACTAAGCTGGGCTTGACCCAAGCCAGGGTGTTTTCAATCACCTCATATGCATGCGAAAGCTATACAATGAATACGGAAGACAGAGCAAGAATTGATGCCTTTGAATTATGGTGTTGGCTAAGAATATTGACTATATCATGGGCCGCCAGAAGAAGGAACACATCTGTCTTGGAAGAAGTACAGCCGGAATGCTCCCTAGCACCAAGGATGGCGGACTTTGTCTCACATACTTTGGACATGTTATCAGGAGGGATCAGTCTCTGAAGAAGGACATCATGCTTGGTAGAGGGTCAGTGAAAAAGAGGAAGACCCTCAAGGAGATGGACTGACACAGTGGCTGCAACAACGGGCTCAAGCATAACGACGACTGTGAGGATGGCGCAGGACCGGGCAGCGTTTCATTCTGTTGTCCACGGGGTTGCTGTGAGTCGGAACCAACTCGACAGCACCTGACAACAGCAACATGTTCAGGTGTGGTATTCTTTGTATGTATCCTGCTTGGGGTCTGCAGATTGGTGCTTTTTTTTTTTTTAAACCAAATTTGAGAAATTTATGGTCATTATTTCTTCAAATATTTTTTCATACTGAATTTTCTGTTTTTCTGGGACTCAATACATTAGACTTTTTGATATTTTACTACAATCTGTTTTTCAGATTTAATCATCTCTATTGCGGTTCTTCAGTTTCAATGACCTTTCCTCTAGTACATCTCATCTGCTGTTGATAAGTTCATTCATAAATCTATCACTTCAGATACTCTATTTTTCAGTTCCAGAATTTCTACTTGGTTCTTCTCAACAGTCCCCAATTCTCTGCTAAGATTTTCCATTGGTTAACTCATTAAAGCCACATTTTCCTTTACATCCTTGCATGTTATTAAATCTGCTCTGAAGTCTCTACTACTTACAAGCTGTGGCTTATCTTGTTATATCTGCTATTGATTTTTTTCCCCTTGATTACAGAACGCATTCTCCTGCTTCTTCCCATATGTAGTACTACTTAACTGTATACCAGATATTGTGGATAACTTCTAAGTAAAATGAACTAACTTGTCTTGACTTTTGTTCAGCCAGGAAGTTAATTTACAAAGGGATCTTCTTGAGCTTGACTGAGATTTGGTTTTAGGTTTTTTGTGAGGTCTGCTGAAGCAGCACATTAATTCCAGGGTGTGCTTTTTACTCCTAAAACGTGGCTGAACGCTTGTGGTGTTAAGAAGATTTCTCCACTCGTTTTTCCTCCCTATTTCTCCCTCCACCAGTCCCTGGTAATCACTAATCTACTTTGTCTCTATGCATTTGTCTATTCTAGATTACACAATATTTGTCCTCCTTAGTCTGGCTTATTTCACTCAGCATTATATTTTCAAGGTTCATCCATGTTGTAGCACATATCAGAGTTCTTTTTATGGCTGAAAAACATTTCATTATATGAAAGTAACACATTTTGTTTTTCCATTCATCTGTTGATGGATATTTGGGTTATTTCCACTTTTTGGCTATTGTGAGTAATGCTGCAATGAACACTGGTGTACACATACTTGTTTGCATTCTTCTTTCAAATCTTTTGGATATATACCTACGAGTGGAATTGCTGGGTCATATGATAACTATTTAAGTTTTTGAGGAATCACAAAACTATTTTTCATAGTGGCTGCACCATTTTACATTCCCAACAGCAATGGACAAGTGTTCCCACTTCACCTCCTCACCAACACTTTTTATTTTCCATTATTTTGATAATAACCATCCTAGTGGGTGTGAAGTGGTATCTCGTTGTGGTTTGGATTTACATTTCCCTAATGACTAGTAATGTTGAAAATCTTCTCTAATTTATTAGCTATTTACATAGCTCACTGGAGAAATGTCTATTCAAGTACTTTGCCCATTTTTAAATTGGAATATTTGTCTTTTATGTTAAAGGAGTCCTGGTGGTGCAATGGTTAGAAGTGACTGACTGCTAACCAAAAGGTTGGCGGTTCAAAACCACCAGCGGCTCTGTGGGAGAAAGATGGGACAGTCAGCTTCTGTAGAGATTTCTAGCCTTGGAAACCCTGTGGAGTCGCTATGAGTTGGAAATGACTTGATCACAGTGGGTTTGGCTTTTTGTTTTGGTTTTTATGTTCAGTTCTTTATATAGTCTAGATATGAAACCCTTATCTATTATTTGGTTTCCAAACATTTTCTCCCATTCCAGAGGTTATCTTTCGCTTTCTTGAAAATATACCTTAATACAGAAAAGTTTTTATTCTGATGAAGTCCAATTTTTTTTTTCTTTTGTTGCTCATGCTTCTGGTGTCTTATCTATGAATTCGTCTTCAA